TGAGTTCGTTCCTGGTACCGGGGGGCGGGGGGGGACAGTTTAGCTGGGTGCAGTTATGCACACCTAGAATCCCAGCTACCCAGAAAGCTGAGGCAACAATTGCACATTCAAGGGCAGCCTGGGAAACTAACCACACCCTGTCTCCAAATAAAACAAAAAGGACCGAGGATATAGCCCAGTTGTAGATTACTTGCCTAGCATAGATCAGTCCCTGGGTTTAACCACCAGCACTTCCAAAAGAAGAAGGAGGAGAAAAGTCCAGGAATAAATAAGTCTGTGCATATACTGTATTCATTAGCTAATTGACAAGCAAAATACAAAGCAGAAAGGGAGGTTGGAATATAGCCCATTGGTAGAGTGCTTGCCTACTATACACCAGGCCAAAGGGTTCAACCCCCAATACTGTAAAAAGTAAATAAACAAAAGTAGAAACTATGCTTCCATGAAGAAACCAAACTGTGTTAAATTACTATGCAGGAGCCTGTATTTCATATTCCTTAAATGTGGAATTACCATCTTATTTTATAGACAAGGAGACAAAATTAGCTTATGTAATTTGTCCAAGATTGCTTGCTAGTAAATCATGACTTTTCTTGCATAAAAGTATCTTGGACATACAGAGTCCAATCTAAAACAGTGCTTAACTTAACACAAATTGTATATCACACTTTTTAAAAAGTTATTAAAGTGGTTTAAATAGAGTTCATTATCATCAAAAGAAATAGACAGAAATACAAATTTTCTTTTTTTTTTCCCCTGGTACTGGGAATCAAACTCACAACCTCGTGCTTGCCAGGCAGGCACTGTGCCGCTGAGCTAAATCCCCAGCCCCAAAAATATAAATTTTCAATACTATCAACATCAGCTCTGTGTGGAGAATCTAAAGTAGAAAAAAGGGGCTGGGGATTTAGCTCAGCAGCAAAGCGCCTGCCTGGCAAGCGGAAGGTCGTGAGTTCGGTTGCCGGTACTGGAAAAAAATAAATAAATAAAAAAATAAAAAAAAGTAGAAAAAAGAAAGGGACAAAGCTTATTTAATGTTTTGATTAGCTCTTCAGTTCCTCACTTAAATAATAATATAGTACCTAAAGCCAGATGCAGAGGTGGCACACACCCATAATCCCAGCATTTGGAAGGCTGAGGCAAGAAGATCCTTAGGATTTCAAGGCCAGTCTCAGCTACATTGTGAGTTCAAGGCCAGACTGAACTACCTAGTGACACACTTTCTCTCAAAAAAAAAAAATAATAATAATGATAATAATGTATCTAAGTAAAGAATCTACTATTCTGCCTTTTTAACTATATTTTTTATATTTCTGAATTTGTAAACTTGTACATATCTTTATTATTTCAGATTCTGGAGGCTAAAAAGTGACTTTTTAATATACAGATACCAAGAAGTTTTCAAATTTAAATTTTGCAGCACACATATATTTAGTTACCTCTAAAAACTTTAGATAGTAAGTATTCTTTCTGAACTTATTGGAATGTGTGAAAACTCACCATTTCTGATTATGTTGACAAGAGTACAATAGGGTAGGTTCTCTTACACCCAGTTGGGGGAAATGTTAATTGATAAAATGTTCTGGGAAGTTCTTTGGTGATATATATCCAGAGCCTTTTTAAATGCATATTAAAAAGTATACACCACCTACAAGTCTTTTGGTAAGTATTCTTACCAAAAGGAAACTAACTGACCTGGAATCTGATCAAACTCCCAGAAAGAAACCTAAGTATCAGTTCATAGCAAATAAAGAGGACTGAGGAACATGTTAAATGACACTACAGGGATACAAACAGAAAAATTCAGACTATAGGATATAAACAATTTGGTTTCTTCTACAAATAAAGAGAGAGAAAGGGACAGTGTGTGCATATGTGTGTTTATGTCTAAATGCAATGTGGAGCCAAAAAAGAACATTAATGCAAAAACTGATAAAATCTACATAAAATCTATAATGTTAGCAGTAACATACCAGGTTAATTTCTCAGTTTTAATATTAACATTAGAAGCACCA